TTTATATAAGCTGTATCAATTATATAAAAATATTCTTCTATCTATAAAATTTATTGTCATCCCAAATCTGGTGTTATTAGATAAATACCAAATCACCTCTGAGATTTTAAAAGGCTATTAAGTGAATGTTAGTGAGAAGTTAATTCTAACTTTATGCTGAGCTATTCCCCCTTGATCACTTCTATAGATTGTTTACAGAAGGCATTCCAAATATTCTGAAATATCCTGTAACATTAATTCTCTGGTCTGCATTCAAAATTTTTATGGTTTTACCTTGCTATTTTCAGACAACTAAGGCCTAAATCTTTTATTTCTCTAATATACAGTTTTGTTCATCTAGATTCTGAAGTTAAATTTTATCAAGAACAATAAAGATGCTGGAATTATTTGTACAATATACTTCCACTGTCCCATGATGGTTCATTATCAATTTCATCAGAAATAGAAGCAGGAAGTTCTCGGGGTACCTGGGTGGCTCAGTCAGTTAAGCGTTTGACTTTTGGCTCAGGTTATGATCTCACAGCTTGTGGGTTTGAGCCCTGCATCAGGCTCTGTGCTGACAGCTTGGAGCCTGGAGCCTGCTACGGATTCTGTGTCTCCCTCTCTGCCCCTCCCCTGCTTGTGCTCGGTCTCCCTCCCTCTCTCTCAGAAATAAATATTAAAAAAAAAAAAAAAAGCAGAAAGTTCTCCTTTACTAATATAAGACCACTGATACCAAAGAATCAGCACTCTTTTACCACTTTAGAGGATGTTTTGCATTTTATAATAGGATTAATGTTATTTACTTCATCAGTAACATGATCCATTTATTCAAGCTACAAGACTTTATGATTAAGGTTATAGAATTGTTAGGATGAAAGGCAAGAGCACCTCAAACTTTCTTAAAGTGGCATACAAACGACTTCAAGTTGAATAATCCTACAGTTTCTGAATAAACACGGATTCGTAAGAAAATATTAGTTATCTCTAATTCCAAGTTGTGATGTAATAGGTTGCTGTTGGGGATCAGACCAGGTGAAATATTTAAAAGTATGTGGCTGAGGGCCACCTGGATGGCTCAGTCGGTTAAGCATCCAACTCTGGCTCGGGTCATGATCATAGTTTGAGCCCCACATCATGGTCTCTGTTGTCAGCACAGAGCCTGCTTCAGATCCTCTGTCCCTCCTCTGCTCATGTTCTCTCTCTCTAAAATAAGTGTCCAACTTTGACTCAAGTCATGATCTCTTGGTTAGTGAGCTTGAGCCCTGTGTTGGGCTCTGAGGAGCCTGACTGGGATTCTGTGCTTCCCTCTCTGCCCCTTCCCCACTTGTACTCTCTCTCTCAAAAACATTAAATTTTTTTTTAAATTAAAAAATAAACATTAAAAAATATGTGACTGAACAGTAGTATTTTGAGAGGAATGAAAAATGTACCTACTAAAGTCTAAGTGCCACTTAAAAGATTTTTTGTGTTGCTACATTTCTACCTTGACTTAGACAAATTTCAAAAAAACACCTGAAATTCTTAAAATTTCAATTGTTCTACAATGACCGAATCAAACAATAGAAATGCAAAAACAGGGGCACCTGAGTGGCTCAGTCAGTTTTAGTATCTGACTTCAGATCAGGTCATGATCTCAAGGTTCATGAATTCCAGCCCTGAACAGCCCAAAGCCTGCTTTGGATTCTATGTCTCCCTCCCTCCATCTCTATCCCACCTCCGCTTGCACTCTCTCTCTCAAACATAAACACTAAAAAAAAAAAAAAGCAAAAACAGGGGGCACCTGGTTGGCTTCGTTGGAGGAGCATGTGACTCTTGACCTTGGGTCATGAATTCAAGCCCCACATTAGGTGTAGAAATTACTTAAATAAAACTTAAAAAAAATGCAAAAACAGGTATCTAGAACATAAAAAGGATGGGAAAATAAAACTAAATGTTTTCATAGTCCTGCTTTATCATTTTTGTTAATTTTTTGACTTGGTCAAGGTCAGATGACAGTACAAAGATATTTACTTTTGAATAATATTCAAAGCAGTTATCTATTTTTTAATGTTTATTTATTTTTGAGAGAGAGAGAGAGAGAGAGAGAGAGAGACAGACAGACAGACAGACAGACAGAACATGAGTGGGGAAGAGGCAGAAAGAGAGGGAGACACAGAATCTGAAGCAGGCTCCAGGCTCTGAGCTGTCAGCACAGAGCCCCATGCGGGGCTGGAACTCATGAACCCTGAGAACATGACCTGAGCAAAATTCAGATGCTTAACTGACTGATCCACCCAGGCGTCACTAATGTTTATTTATTTTTGAGAGCAAAAGAGAGACAAAGCGGCAACAGGAGGGGGGCAGGGAGAGAGGGAAACACAGAATCCGACGCAGGCTCCAGGTTCCTAGCTGTCAGTAAAGAGCCTGATGCAGGGCTCAAATCCACAAGCTGGGAGATCATGACCTGAGCTGAGGTAGGATGCTTAACTGACTGAGCCACCCTGACACCCCCAATGCAGTTTCTTTTTTAATTTTAATTTTTTACAAAGCAGTTTAGAAAGGAAAAAATAGGTCCCTTCTCTTTCCTTCATTTTCTCTAAAACCATTTTTTTATATGTAACTTGCTTTTTTCTAAATGATCTCACTTTCCACTTCCACTGAATTTATAAAAAGTTTAATACAATTTAAAAATCTACACTTTTTCTTCATTCTCCCAATATTACTGACTTAAATATCTGGGAAAAATAAGTCTAACAAGTGGACTTTACAATGATTTTTCTCATTTACAAACATACTCTATTAAAGAACTATACTGTTTATTTTTATTATTCTTTAATTTAAAACAATATTTATTTTTGAGAGATTATGAGCAGGGGAGGGGCAGAGAGAGAGAGGGATAGAGGATCCAAAGCTCGCACTGTGCTGACAGCAGCAAGCCTGACATGGGACTGGAACCCATGAACCATGGGATCATGACCTGAGCTGAAGTCAGAAACTCAACAAACTGAGCCACTCAGGTGGCCCCTTTTAGTCTTTTAGTTGAAAAACTTTCCAACTACTCAGAAATGTTTCATTTTACCTTAAAAATGGAGAAACGTTTATTTTATGATAGAGAGTGAGGAAGGGAGATAGAGAGAGTGAGAGAGAGAGAATCTCAAGCAGGCTCTGCGCTGTCAGCACAGAGCTCAACTTAGGATGAGATCATGACCTGAGTGGAAACCAAAGTCAGATTTAGCTTAACTGACTGAGCCACTCAGGCCCCTGGAGAAACATTTATACAGTAACAGTAAAATTATGGATTAATCATTAATTGTTCTTCAAAGAAGCTCAACAAACCCTAAGACCAGAAAGAGCAGTTTAAAACAAAAATCAGTTTGAAAGAATTTCAGGTATTTTAATCTATTTCTTAATAAGAGCCACGTGGATTCAATTTAGCTTAAGACACATATAACATGGCACTTACATTCTCATATTAATCTATTTGGAACACCTTGCCATTATCCTAGCAAAATAAGGCAAAATGAAATAAAATAACCCTAATATGGCATATATTTCTATGATAGAGAAACATTCCAGTAAGGGTTAAATACAAAAAAACCCCCAACCATCTGCTAAAGATGTGATTCAATTTTCACCAGTGTTAAAAGACATGTCATTTAATCCTAGATTTTTCTTTTCTTTTTTTTTAAAGATTGTTTGTTTATTTAGGCAGGCTCTGCACCCATCATGGGGCTCAAACTCATCACCCTAAGATCAAGAGTCACATGCTCTAGTGACTGAGCAAGTCAGGCACCCCTAATCCTAGACTTCCTTTTTTTCCCCCCAAGATTTTATTTTTAAGTAATCTCTATGTCCAATGTGGGGCTCAAACTTACAACCATGAGATTTAAGAGTCACATGCTCTACCAACTGAGCCAGCAGGTACCCCTCCTGTATTTCTTTAGACCAGAGTTTCTCAACCTGCATACTGACGTTTTGGGCTAGATAATTCATTGCTGTTGGGGGGCTATCCTGTGCAATGGAGGATGTTTAGCATTTAACAACTAGATGCCAGTAGCATTCACCCAGTTGTGACAAGTAGAAGTGTTTCCAGACATTGATAAATGTCCTCTGGGACAGATGATAGGATATCCCCTGTTAAGAACCACTGCTTTACAGTATATCACATTTCCTATGCTTTTCACTCAACGGTTAATCAACTCTTATATATTCACTTAAATTCTGAAGGAAGTACACAGACTAATAAAAAAATTATTTTTAATTAAAGAAGGCTTAACTTAAGACATCATACTGACATCTACTGGCTTGGTACTAAACTGTACATTTGACATATACTGCATTAAAAAAAAAAAAACCCTCAAAATTAAAATATAGGTGCTATTTTGGGAAAGTAGAACAATTAACTGAAAGTAGTAACATTAACATCAGTACTGTTCGTTTTTCGTAAGTCTAACATATAATAACAATGGTAACGGTCTATTATTTTCTTAATTTTTGATGTACTGTCTTTTGGACAATTGAATTTGTAATGAACGGCTTAGAGACTGATAATTAAAGGGATTTTTTTAAACAAGTAAAAAAGTATGGTTCAAAAACTTGCAAAAAATTAAGCAGCATGCTATTTTATGATTTATACTGAAATTTTAGAAGACTGAAAAATTTTTATAAAAACCTAATGGTAATTCTATAAATAAAATTACAATTTTCTAGATATTTTAATAAAAGACATTTGGTAATTAAATACTACTATCAATTAAATTGATGAACTTTATTGGGGTTAAAACTATAACAAAGTTCATCCTAAAACATTTTGCAATGCAAAATTATTTCACTCAAGGAGTGTTTAATATTTGAATGCCAGGAATTACAAGCAATTTTCAAAAGCAGAGACTCTTCACATTCATAAAACTTTATACATCATTTGAACTAACAGATATTTATACTACTAAAATCAAACATGCATCACTTTCAAACATTCTTGTATCATGATTTTATATATTACATTATTTAACACCGTTCCTCACTGCTACATGTATTTATCATACGCTTGCACCATTCTCCTTGGATTTCTGATCTTTATCTTCATTCTTCACGTTATCCTGCAACACAGTAGACAAACAGATTTTATTAGATTCTCTTAAATGTTACTTTAAAAGTAAACATTAGTAAACAGATACTCTAAATAGTCCATTTTACCATACATAAAAAACTGACTGAGGGGGCAACTACGAAAGAAAGCTCTCAATTCTACTATGCAGAATGATTTCTAGTATGTGAGAAAGCTATCTAAGTCCTAAGAAATTTAAAGTTCTTAGGAGTAAGAGCAGTATATTAGGAATATAGCAGTATAGTAGGAATTTTTACTCCTTGTTCTGAGTAACATTGAGGATATGGCAGATCTCTCAATTACTGAAATTATTTTGTAATGGCACTGAGTCACAGATTTGTCTTTTAGTGACAAAGCACACATAAACCACATTGACATTTCAATTAAGTTCTAGAAAAATAAATCTTTTGGAAATTGCTTGTAATTAATCTAACAAAGGACAGAATGATACCATTATTTAAGCCTAGAAAAACTACTAGGAGCTTAAGAACATTAAAATTTCCAAACACAAATTTAAAAGTTGAAATAAATTGAAAATACGAAAAGTACAAAACTGCTAACCTTCTTCAAAACAGTGTGGATTTCATCCATTACTGTAGATAAGTTTCTGATTGTCTTACTGAGTTGGTTTTCAAATTGCAAATTCATGTTTTCTGTAATCTTTAAGTTTTCTTGTAACTGACTAAAGTCCTTTTTAACTTCTCTGAGTTCACCAGAGAGGCTTTTGTTGGAATTCTCCAAATTTAATATGGTTTTTTCATCCTCATCTGTTTAAAAAA